ATCTGTCAAACTCGAGAAAGAGAAACCAACATACTAACAGGGTTAATGGCAGGAACATGGAATCAAACAAACTCACCTCATCCGAGGCTCGCGGCCGATAACGGTGGATATCCGGCATGATATATTGGATCTGTTCATCGGTGGTGAACGACGGTGTGTTACGGTTGATGTTGAATGTCGCGAGGACAGAGGGTTGCGATGGTGTGGAGAGATGACGCCGGTGGTTGAGTTTGTTCGCTGCGGATCTCGGTTGGTGCAGATCCGTTTGAGTTGCTGTGTTCGGTTTCCGGCGTGGTCGTCGTCGAAGGCTGTGACGACGTCGTCATAATGATGTGGAGTTTTTTTTGGCGATGAAGCGAAAAGACCTGCTGCTATGTGTGTGACGGTGCACGGCAGATTGATGTTGGTGGTAAACCGAGTATGGCTTTATAATCGTGGTGATTAATCTTTCTGGTTTTCCTTGTTCACAATGTGTTTTTAGCTTTTGATCATTTGCGAATCATAATTTGTTTGAATTCTACCTGTACATGAGAGGTTCAATGATGCTGAAAAAAAGTTTTTACAGGTTGGTAGAAATTGTGTTAACTGGTGTTTGTGCCGTTTGGGAGCTTTTTTAGGTCGTGTATCTTATTGCCAATGCTTGCATATCTGTATATGAATGATAATCAATCACCATAAGGAGCCTTGAAGCCTTGCAATTATGTTTTGGATTTTGCCATGAACACCATTTAAACAACTTGCCATTTTTGTCAAAATTTGAATTTTTATGCCCATAATAAGATGTACACGAATTTGGAAGGTGCTTCATGGTGTATCAAAGCTATTCAACACAAAATATATCCCTTAATTAATTTTCTTGATTTTTATTTGAATTTTAAAGATTTAAAATGAATTAAATCAAATAAAATTAAATAAAAATGGAAAAATTAATTTTTAATCTTGAAATAAATTGTGGGATACGTGGGAAGCATGGCTAAGCTGAACCAAGTGGAAAAAGTGGGCCCTTTTTGTCAAAAGTGAAGTTTCAAGGATAATTGACTTTGGCCATTTCACAAAAATTTCCCAACTTCTCCAATGCATATCTTGCTCAATTTTGAAGCTATGAACATGTTCTTGGACATTTTGGAAAGGTCTTGAAGTCCTCTAACCAATGCCTTTGGTCCCATGTCATTTTGATTTACCAATCTCAAGTTATGGTCTTTGACTTAAAGTGCCTTTTTGTTGACTTTTGAAAATGACCTATAATATTGAAATTGATAACTTTTTGTGAGAGCATTTCTTGGGCTTGGAATGTGAAGATGAATTGTAGGAAATGTCTTCCCCTTCACGATGAGCATTGGATGGGATTTTTTTGATGAACCATGTAAAAGTTATGCCTTGGTCAAGTTACAGTTGACTTTTCAGCTGTCCCAAAATAGAAACTTTTGACATCTTGATGATTTTTGAGCCATTCTTGTGAAATCATGGTAAAGATTTGACCAAATGATGATTTTGGCTTCAAAATAAGATGTTGACCAAAATTTTTGACTTTTGACTACCAAATGACCATTTTGCCCCTGCAGTTGACTGTGGAGCAATTAGGGTTTTTGACTGTGCAACTTGACCTTGTGAGCCTTGAAACTTGACATGTAGGTGCTTGACAATGTGTATGAGCATATGGGACTTTATTGAGCCCTTTAAAACCTCAACTTCCTTGCAAGAACCAAAACCCTAATTTGACTGGCTTAGGAGGATGCTTGACTGTGTAACCCTTGAGTAGACTTGAGCAATTTGGGGTGATGCTTGTCAAAACTTTGAAGAATATGGGAGGGCAAATTTTGGGGTACAACAACCACCTTCAAAAATTGGATCACCTTCAGAACCTCTGCCTTTAGAAGTTTCACCTTCGTAATCATGACCACCGTCATAGGCTGGACTATCTTCAGAAGCTCCTCATTCATAAGGTCCACCTTTAGAGACATGATTTTCACCAGAAACATGATCATCTTCAGAAGCTTGTCCTCCGGAACCTATGTCTTCAGAGTTTTCCCTTCTAAAAACATCATCACCACCAGATTCTGGATCATCGTCAAAATCTGGATCATAATCAAATTCACCGTTTAACTCATATTCAGAGTCTTCATAATCATCTTCTGACTCTGACTCTTCTTCAGAACTTCCAAGTTCTGACTCATCCTCAAAAGCATAATCTTCTTCAGTTTCTGACTCATCTTCTGATTCTTCTTCAGACTCAGAATCACCTACGGATTCTGACTTGTCTTCAACTTCAGAGTCATCTTCTAACTCTGACTCATCTTCAAAAACTTCATATTCATCTTCTGATCCTGACTCATATTCAAACACTCCAAAGTCAGAATATTTAGAGTCATCTTCTTCCCCTTCAAAATCAGAAAATGAAAATCTCATAGGTTCCTCATCAAATTCATAAGCCACTAATAGCACATGTTCATCATCAAAATCTCCTCTGGCTATTTTTGCTTCTTCTTTGTTTGACCAACAATTTTTAGCAAAGTGGTCAAACCTATTACAACAGTAACATTGAATCATTCTCTTGTCATACTTCTCATCTCCTTCTCATAAGATTATAAGACTTCTTACTTCTGAGACCTATCATGATTTTTCTACTTCTGGTCCTTCTTGACAAAAGAAGCTTTCAAAGCCTGCTTAACCTCCCTCTCAGAAGTTCTTTCAGTCAGACGCAACTCTTGCGTATCTAGACTGCTTTGAAGCTCTTCTATTCTCATGGTGTCTAGATCTTTAGAATGTTCAATTGCTACAACAATATAATCAAATTGAGGAGTAAGAGACCTTAATATCTTTTCAAGGATTACTTGTTCAGAAAGGGTTTCTCCACAAGCTTTCATCTCATTAGTGATCAGAATCACTCTGGAGATGTACTCAAAAACCTTCTCATTGTCCTTCATATTGAGATTCTCATACTATTTTCTGAGAGACTAAAGATTCACCTTCTTCACTGATGTCTCACCACTGTAACACCTACTCAGTGTGTCCCACACAACCTTCACCGTCGTCGAATCAGTAATTTTCTCAAACACGTTCTCATCCATACACTGATGGATGAAGAACAACACCTTCTGATCTTTCTTCCTTGTATCTCTCTGCACATTTCTCTGTTTGTTCTTTGCATCTACAGCAACTGGAACATAACCATCGTTGGCGAGATCAAGAACATCTTGAGCGCCAAACAACACACGCATTTGAATCATCTAATGATTCCAATTTTTACCATTAAATACTGGAAGCTTAGTGATTAGACTACCGTTTCCGGTCATCTTCAACCTTGTGCAAGTAACTCAGATCTCACAAACACAGTGTTTCTCAATCCCACAGAATCAGAAAATGTGATTCTGTTCAGATTTTGTTCAAGATTCAACACGAATTCAAAAACCAAAATCAATCACACAACGCCTCATCGTTTCACTCGTGTTTCCTTGTGGATTCGAACTGGAGCTCTAGATACCAATTTGTTAGTGCACAAGGTTAATAAATGAAGAAAGATATGCGAGAATAATATTAAAGTTTTGTAATGACGACTATAAAGTTGTAAGGAAGAATGATTGGACATTTTTATGATAACTACCACTAGTCTATTTATACACAAAGTAAATTGCCATGTAGGCCCTAACAAAATATAAACTTAATAACTAAGCAAACTAAACTTAATAGCTACGCTAACAAAAGAACTAGAACCCCATAAGCTAAACATACTTCTAGGCGTAACATCAGAAGCTTTTGCTTCTGACTAATAACAACTTCTGTCTAACAACCTCAAAAGCTCTACTGCTTCTGAGCAACACTGCTTCTGACTCTAATAACTTTTTCTGAATATGAATGACTTCCAACACCTACCCCAATTGATAAAGAACTTTCCTGAGCCAAATTCCCTTGCACGCACATGATGCTTCTGCTACAAATTTCGCTCCAGTGGTATGATACCAAAGCTCAATGTCTATTTAAGATATCTAAGAATTCTTCTTGTTGCAGCCAAATGAATCTCTACTGGTCTCTCCATGCATCTGGCTATTAGGCACACAAAATATGTCAAATCTACTATCGGCTTGTAATTGGTGGCATCCACAATCTTTTTTTTCTACTGTTTAGTAGTCCAAAGATCGAAATTTCACCCTCTTAAAGGTGAATGAATGAGATGATGCGAGTTCGAATTCGAGCCACATCAGTCAAATGTCTCGCACAACTACAAATTAAATTGTTTTAATGCAATCGGCCTTCCTTTTTAATTAAATTAAATTCAACTTTGATCCTTTTATTTTTATTTTTGTTTTGGTCCATCTATTTTAAAATTCAGGATATTAATCTTTTCTTTTTTAAAAATTTAAGATTTTAGTCTCTTTCAATTTGAGATTAATTTTTAATGACTTATATAATTGCCACATTTTTTAAATTTAAATCCATATTTTTAATGACTCAAGTTGAGAAACATTAAAATTATAAATTATTTACAAAAAAAAATTCAAAATTTAAAATATAAAATCAAAACTAAAAAAAAGTTTTTAGTTATTACCAATGAAAAGTATTTCCTCTATTTTTTATTCATAATTAAAAAAAAAAAATGTTTCTAGAAGGATGCTCAATCGAATTGGTAAAAATTAAACAAGGATTTCATCAATAGTCAAAATTTATTATAAAGAAAATTAATTATTATGCACCATTAGTATATAAAGTTTTATAAATTCTATCTATCACAACTATTTATATTTTTTAATATATTCAAAGAAAAAATATCAAATAATTAAAAAAAAAGTTCTAAGAGTAAAAAAAAAATATAATTTGACGGTTATATTCAACTCAGTGTAAAAACAATTTCAATTAAGCCATTTAACCTCACAGAGTACTGTATAAACCTATAAACCCATAAATTTGTATTTCACTCTCTTCACCAGTCACCTTCAACACCGGTTTTTGTTTCCGCCATCGTAACAAGTTCCCATTTCATTGCTGTATACATCAAAATCAGAGACATGGTTCAAATTGGCGAGGAAAAAGAGAAACGCGAAAACGAAAAGGTTTCGAATTCCAATTCAAATTCAAGTCCAAATTCAAAGAATTCGGAGGAGAAGAAAACCGAAGCAGAAGTAACGGTGACACTGAGTGATCCCGAGCAAGAACAAGAACAAGAACAAGAAAAGGATCCAATGGAGATGAATGTAGCAGAAGAAAATGAACAAGACTCATTCTCGCCAACTCCCGCCACCGTTTTTCAAATCCGCCTCGAACAACCAGCCGTATATTCACTTCACAAGATGAATTACCCTCAAGTTTGTCGCAATTTCAGGTTCGCATTTTATTCTTTTCTTTCTTTCAATTCTACGTTTATGAATAGTTTGTTTCTTTTTATTCTTATCGTAATGCTGCTACTGTTGATATGTATATATTTTTTTTCAGTGCTGTTGCTTGGTGTGGAAAATTGAATGCTATAGCTTGTGCTTCTGAAGCATGTATCAGTGATCCAAGGTGACTCTGGTTTTAATATCTCTGGATTACTATGTAGCGCTGACACCTCTAGAAAAATGCATGTCTGTGTCTGTAAGATGATATCAAAGGTTATCATAGATTTTGTTATTCCACCTGCATTTGTCCATACTCCAAATCTTCAGTTTTGGTTGTGAGAGTGTGTGTTAAGATTAATGTTGTTCCATCTGCATTAGCCCACATTTCAGATAGCCAGTTCTGAACGTGATGTGTTGGGAATCCTCTATTTGTTAGAGATATGACTGAGGTAGTGTTTATAAGACTCAAACAACTCTTGTCTTACAAGCCAGTTTTGTTTGATTGAGTTAGGCACAAAATCTAAAAGTTTGAATAAGTATAATTGATGAAAGATTTAAGGGCAAAATAATTTACTAGATTAGGATGATTTTGGGGGTCCAAGGCATTTAACGATTTATGGATGAATTCAAGAAGATTCGATTGGTTAATGTTTCAAACTTTCTCAATTACATCTATCCTATTGTAAGATCCAAACTAGAAGAGGCACTGGGAAGGGGTATTATGGGATGTATCTTTTGGTATGCTTATCTCAGGTGGTTGCTACAGTGTCTTTAATTTTTTTCTTTGATTAGCTTATATTATATTTTTATTGCTCTTAATTAGTGTCCTCCTTTCTAGGCAAATGAATATCAAACAACTTTAAGTTATGTCCTGTCTGGTTTATATTTCTAGTAATATCGCAAAAGGTTCGTTAAACAATGTGTTAAAGGATAGGCTGTAGACAGAATTTCTGATCAACAGCAACATATATGTTAGTTTTGCATATTATATATTCATTTGTTAGACAGCCTACAAGGAAATCTGAATGAACGGGGTCCATGGCAAACAAAAACTTGTTCATATGCAAAAAAATGCTAGCTTAACAACGTCCAAAGTCCATATTGTTTATTAAATTTGCTTCTAATGTTTGTTCAAATCCTTGAGGTTATATTGACAAACAGCCATACATATGATGTCTTAACCTTACTCAGTCATCTGTATCCATTACTTTGGCTTGCTGCTGATACTCTGTATGTTTGTTTACGTGGGCAATTTTGTAATGGTTATTAGTGTTTCCTTTTTCCATAGCTCAATTCTAAGTCCAACATTTTGGATCCCTGTGCATATTGTGATCCCAGAGAGGCCAACTGAATGTGCGGTATTCAATGTCATAGCAGGTACTTTGATGTCATGTCTATTTCACTTTTGCTGTAAGGGTTGGTTTTGTTTGATATTATTCTTCACTTGGCAGCAATATTAAAGGTCTTTTTCAATTTCGTTACCAATATCAAGGTTCTGATAAATCAGAGGCTTTTCAACAACGTGATCCAACATAAGCTAAATATGGATTTAGGAATATTATGTTTGAGCATAAGGCATCAAGTTGATAGTAGAGAAGGAATCTTTTAATTGTCAGAATTTTTTGGCAATCGTATTTTGAACTAAACCTTTAGAAGATTTTAATATGGATAGCTTATTAGCATCAGTTTTCAGATGACTCCTTTTGAAGTTGTAATTAAATCTTTAGGAAGTTGCTGTTTCACAACCAGAGGGTCAATATAATTGATTTTAAAAGACAAGTCCGAAGGATCTTCATGATGAAGATATATGTTAAATCATCATCATTATCTAATATTAATAATAATAATAATAATTTTACGTTGAATGGTTTGATGAATGACAATTCATATGTGCAATATTGGTAAAATAAGAATTAAGATGTGTTGAATCTAAATGATACGATTCGGAAAACTGAGGAAATTGAGATCCTGTAAAACAGTATGTTAGGCCTCTTTTTAAAAGATACTATAAGAGAAAGGGCAAAATGGGCCAAGAGTTACATTGATTGGGATTTTAAAGTAGTTATGGCAGTTGTAATTTTCAAATAAAAGCAGTTAACAGCAGTTATTAGCAGTTATTTGTTCTTATCTGTATTTGTAATAAGTATAAATAGGGAAAGAGTAAGAAGGATGGACATGCAGAATTTTACTAAGGGTTATCAAGGAGGGAGAGAACCAAGCTCTCTAATCTTGGTTGGAATGTGTCTATAATTTTCTGTCAGCATTTAATTATCAATACAGTGTGTATATGTATGCTGCCAAATCTGATGGAGAACCTTTCTCCAGAGTTTATTCTATAATAAATACTTATTATTTAGTAATATATCCCATTGATACCGGTTTCTATCACAGTAGCAGAGATCGAATATGCAATTACTTCATCTGTTAATTTCTCATTGCCATCAAATATGGAATATTTCCGTTGATTTGCTTGATGGACTGTTCATCATATGAAAAATAATATCGACGTCTCTGAACTGAACTGCTTCACTATATAGCGAATGAGTTTATACATATGGGAATTTGATTAGTTGCACTATATGCCTTCTGCAGATTCTCCTCGTGATCCTATCCAGTTTATTGAATGGTCCCCTGCCTGTTGTCCCCGTGCATTATTGATAGCAAATTTCCATGGAAGGGTAACTATTTGGACTCAGCCATCTCAAGTAAGCCAGTTTTACTTAAGAAGATACTACTATCAAGATTTTCTAGCATAGCTGTTTAGTATAACTGTTAAGTATTCTGCTATAGGTTTTCCTATGGCCATAGATTTAATTGCTAAGTTGCTGTCTGCCTGTAACTGAGTTTGTTGCTAAAACTTACCCCACACTCCATAGCTTCCTGTGAACTGAGGGTACTTTTAATTAAAAATATCCTGTAACGGGTGATTTAGCTATGTGCGATAGCTTCATGTAAACTGAGATGCAATTTTCAAATCCCTTAATGGGAGATTTAGCTATGTATTAACCTTGAAGGGTGTTAATGTAGTTGACCTAGTGCTTGTGTTGTGCCTGCCCCTTTTTCCCATCTCTATTTTTCACTTGCTTCTTCATTACTCATATGTGGCTATATGCATTTCTTATTGTTGAATTCTTTCCCTTCAGGGGCCAGCTAATTTTGTACTTGACACTAGCTGTTGGCTGTGTGAGCATGAGTGGCGGCAAGAAATTTCAGTTGCTACAAAGTGGCTATCAGCGGTGTCTCCGGTATGCATTTAACTTCTCTTCTATGCTATGTTCAAATTTTCATTATACTTTCTTTGAGGATTTTTGTCTGTCTAACTATACCTGAAACTTATTTGAATAAACAATACATTTTTTTTGGGTATATTATAATAAAAATATATATGTCGAACTATACAGTTGTCTCAAAAAAAGTTTTTTATCTCTTAGAATTTAGGTTGAGTTTAACTTAACCTTACAAAACAGCTTGTAAGGTGAAGAGCCGACTTATAAACAATTACTCAAGTCTAGTCATTAGATGAGGGACTCCCTCATGTCCAATACTATTGAGTTAGGTGCGTGGGTATAAATGGTGGGTGGTCTGATAGCGAAAAATTGATAGTAGTTGACCCAACGGATTTTGGATTGATTCAATATCATCTTAAGGTTTGGGTTAGGTCTAAATGAACCTTACAAAACTGGATTGTAAAGTGGGTAGTGCCCACACTTATAAATAACTATTCGGACATTATCTCATCTAATGTGAAACTCTTAACCCTATTTATAAATAAAATTCTCTAAGAGTTGTTTAGAGATAGGTTTTTTTTTTTTGAGGGGGTGGGGGCAAATTATTATTTTTCGTTGAAATGAACTTTAACTTTTAAAAAAGTATAAAGGTTTTGTAGGTTTCCTAAAATCTCCCTGATTCCCCTTCAATCATTAAGCCAGGGCATTGATGCACTGACTTACAATTTGCACTGTAGTATTAGTAAGCATGTGAGTGAGAACATACATACAGATATTGTGCGGTTCAATGTGACCTGTTTTTTTATTTTTAAAACTGAATTAATTGCTTTTTGGATAAATAGTATGGGAGGCTTTCATCCAAATCAAGTGCTCCTGCCAATTCAAAGTCAATGTTTGAGGAAAAGTTTATTTCACAACAATCTCAAACTTCAGGTCAATTTTGTTTTTGCATTTCTATTCTAATTGCCATTTTTCATGTTTCGAAAATTATTATTTCGGGAAAGAAGAGGGATATAGGCGTACGGATGCGTGGATGATTGTGTATTGGGAATGAAGCCTAGACTTAGACACGGACACGGGACACGACACAGACACGAGGACACGCTAATGTAAAAAACATTGGACACAAACACAACTATATATGTTTTATATATTAATAAAATAATGCAATTTATGAGCATAATTTATGAAGAGTCTAATGAGAACTAAAATTTATATTTATTTAAACTTAGTACTTTCAATCAACCAAAAAAATGCTTAAATTGATTGCTTTCAATTAAGTAAAATTATTTAAAACAAAATGATACAAATCATATCATAGTCACTCCATATTGAGAAAACAAATCTCTAAGTCTGCCTCATCCAAAGATAAGTTATATGTTATATGTAATTAACATATAACATGAGTGAAACAAAGACAAATAATATATAACATATCTAATTAGCATATAACATTTATGTATAACATGAAACATAAACAAAAAACAGAGAGAATTAATAAATAATAACACGAGTGAAGCGCCATGGCCGACGTATGTAATTAACAACAAAAAACAGAAACAAAGACAAATAATAAAGAAAGAAAAGGAATGAGTATCGGAAGAGAAGAGTGGAATACCGGCGGTGGCGATAATGGAATACCGGCGTGCGGCGATAATGGAATACCGGCGTGCGGCGAAGATGAAAACAAACAAAGAAGATGAAAATAAAAAGATAAGATGAAAAAACAAGGAATATGAGTTGTTTTTATAGTGGGAAAGTGAAATATGAAATGTAAAAAAAGATTTAGTTCTGAGAATTTGAGTGGTTGGTGTGTCCGTTATTTGAAATAGTGTGTCGTATCTGTGTCCGCTGCGTTTCAATTTATTTTTTTCATTGGACACTTCAAAAATGTGTTTGATACGTGTCGTACGCGTGTCGTACGTGTGTCGGTGTTAGATATGTGTCCGGTGCGGGGACACACCTTCAAATTGGCGTATCAGAGCTTCATAGATTGGGACTAGACAGTTTGAGTGTTGCACGGTTTCACTTTTAAATTTTACTGATTGTTTTTTAATTATCTTGTTTCACCCATGGACACAACACAGCCCTTCTGATTACTCTCTGTATTTTCTGTTGCACATTTGCCTTTAGCAATACTCTATGTTGTTTTTGTGAATTTATTTTTGTTGTTAAAATGTCTCCATGAAGACAGATCACTTGAGATGAAGTAGTAAACTTAATGTTCTTTACAATTTTATCTGATTTGTATATTATGAATTTATGATACTCAACTGTCTTAGTGGCTGGCTGATGCCTAATTATCAAGCCCAAATACTTCAAAAATGGAGCCTTATCTTTACCAGAACACTTGTCATCCTAGTATGACTTGCAATTTTTTTATCCATTCTGTATTATATCCAATGTCTCCCTTCTTAGGCTGGTACTGAAACAAATTTTGTATGTTGATGATGCTGGTCGTTCATGACAGAACCTTAAATCAGAACTATGTTATCCTCTCTTTGTTTGACTGCTTTTTGTGTTATTTGCTTGATCATTTATTTATATGTTCGTCTTTTCTGTTCTAAATAATAGGGCAGAACTATGTATTAAATTGTAAGATCCTTGTGTGTTTAACACATGTTGTTGTTTTGATTTCAGCTAGATGGCCCAATTTTTTCTGTGTCTGTTCTGTACTCTCATCAGGCTTAGTTCAACTTCATTGGTCACAATGGCCTCCTAGTCAGAATGCAACATCACCCAAATGGTTTTCCACTAGTAAAGGACAATTGGGTTGTGGGCCCAGGGGCATTGTGGCCGGTGATGCTATCATTACAGAAAGTGGTATTATGCATGTAGCCGCTGTGCCATTTGTCAATCCTTCTACCATTGTTGTATGGGAGGTTATGCCTTGGTCTGGAAGTGGTTTCCTATTAACTCCAAAGACAAGTATTAATAATGGTGTCCCACCTAGTAGCCCACCCAACTGGAGTGGTTTTGCACCCTTAGCTGCATATTTGTTTAGTTGGCAAGATTATCTGTTATCTGAAGAAAAACAAGGGAAAAACCAAACAGACCAAAACCTTGGTAAATCAATACGACTTTACTGCTCACCAGTTTCAAATTTTTCAGCATATATGAGTCCTGAAGCGACAGCTAAATCTGAAGCAACCCCTGCCTGGGGTTCTGGTGTATCAGCAGTAGCCTTTGATCCGATTCATGGCGGCTCTGTGATAGCTGCTGTGATAGTTGAGGGTATGAACTTAATCCTCCCCTTCAATCTCAATATATTTTCAGTACATTATTATTTACGTTCATCTTTATCTTACCAGTATTTATAAGTGATTCCTATTGAATGGCACTAAGATCTGTGAAGCCTTATTTTACCCATATTCTTTTAAGCTGTTCTAGATTTTAAAATCATTTATGTGTAAACTTATTATTTTCACAGACAATATGATATATTCCTTTAACACTTAATCAATTGATGAACCATTACATTACAGAGAAGATGCAATGCTAAAAACCCAAATAAAGTTAATCTGAATAAAATGATATCCAGTAAAAGATCGTGACTAATTTTTAATTAAAGCCTGAGATGTCTATATTTTTCTGTTCATCAGGTTTTTATATGAAACAAGCAAATTGATCATCAAAACTACTTCTCCTTTGAATATAATTAATCAGCTACGAAGCAATAGAACTTCAGTATCCACAATACAGGATACAAAGTTTGAATATCAAATGATACTATGTGACATATTCCCTCTCACTACTGGTGTTTCTGCTCTTGGAATATCATCCTAGTGCAACCTGGCATTCCTTTTCAGACCAACTTAAGTGATATATCAGTAGGACCCATGCACTTATCTAGCCTTCTCACATATTGTAACGATACTGCCTGTGATTCATGTTCGTCAAATTTTTTTGCCTGGGGTTTCTTGTGCACTGATCATTGAGCATTATCTTTGCAGGGCAGTACATGTCCCCTTTTGACCTAGATGAGGGGCCATCAATCACAGGGTGGAGAGTGCAACGCTGGGAATCATCGTTGCAGCCTGTTGTCTTCCATCCAATATTTGAAAACCCTACTTCAAGTATTGATGAAAAGCCTCCTATGCAAGCTGTTTGGCAGTGCAAAGTGGATATGAGTATTCCACAAACAAATGTTTTCAAGAATCGTCAAGCACCTCCAGTCGGAATGAATGCTAATAATGTCCAAAAGGCATCTGAGTTTGGTTTTGATAAGTCAAAAGAGTCCAAAGTCAATGCTTTTGATCTTCCAAGTGATATTAGGGCACTCTCACGAGTTGTTTACTCAGCTCATGGTGGTGAAATGGCCATTGCTTTTCTTCGGGGAGGAGTCCACATTTTTTCTAGCTTAAATTTTGCACCTGTAGCCAACTATCAGATTGATGTTGGAGCTGCAATTGCTGCTCCTTCTTTTTCTGCAACAAGCTGTTGTTCAGCTTCTGTATGGCACGACACAAGCAAGGGTCAAACCATATTGAAAATAATCCGGGTTCTTCCTCCTGCTATTCCAATTGGTCAAGTGAAACCAATTTCTTCAACTTGGGAACATCAAATTGCTGAAAGGTGATTGCTTAAAATGCTTTAGGATGCGGCGTGTTCATTCTTTCTTAATATGCCCATAAATTTACTAAAAGTTGTGATTTGTGTTTTTTGGTCAATGGTTTATTTCTCTGCTAACATCTGTTTGGAAAAGCAGGTTCTGGTGGAGCCTTTTGGTTGGAGTTGATTGGTGGGATGCTGTGGGTTGTACACAAAGTGCTGCTGAGGATGGTATTGGTAAGGATGGTGAAATTATTAAGTCTTGCTACTACTTTTTGTGTTTTTTGATGTTTGTGCCTGCAAGGTTAGAGATGCTAACTATTTAGTCTTGCTACAGTTTTTTTTTTTTGCTTACTTGAAATTTGTGCCAAAAATCAGAATCAACTGACATTACAATTTACTCTATTTCATGCACTCTATTGCGGCTGCATAATTGCTACTGTCAACTGATTCTGTATGCTAATGAGTTTTTTTTTTTTTGGTTTCAGTTTCACTTAACAGTGTTATTGCAGTCTTAGATGCAGATTTCCATTCCCTTGCTACTGCTCAGCACAGACAACAGTATTGTCATGTATATTTCTGTAAACTATCACCATTAGCTTGCTTAGTTATATTTTCTGTCTTTTAATTCAAGGGGTGTTTTATATTTTCTGTTGTTTCACTTGTATTTATGAAGTTGTTGATAGTTTTTTATGAATATGATATTAGTTGGAATATGTATCCTGTAGCAAATGCTTGTTAGTAGCATTTTCATCTCATAACACTAGTAAAACCTCAATTGGTCTCCCAAAGATTGGGTTTTTATTAGAGATATAAGGGCAATCCTGTAATATTCTAGTATAAGGGAATTAGACTAGTGTCTAATTCCATTTCTATCCCTTATCCTTTCCATATAAAGGATTGTTGTAACTGAATCAAATACAATAACAAATTCTGTTTTGCATTTTCCCTCTCTCTCTCTCTCTCTCTCTCTCTCTCTCTCTCTCTCTCTCTCTCTCTCTCTCTCTCTCTCTCTCTCTCTCTCTCTCTCTCTCTCTCTCTCTCTCTCTCTCTCTCTTCTCTTTCTCTTCACTCTCTGCTTCTCTGTTTTCTATCATGGTATCCAGAGCTTATCTCTGATCCTCGGCGCGCATGGCTTCTCCGTCGCCGTCTTCCACCGCAGAGCTTATCAAATTTAGAATAAATAATATTGTTGTTGTATTATTATGAGGTCACTGGACCTGTATATATACATGAGCTTGTAGTCTATTTTAGGGAATTGGACAGCTAGTTCTAAGGAAACAAATCCTTGTGATTATGGGATTGATCCTAAATAAATAAACCTAATAATTAGCAAGATATACAGCTGTTACAGAATTACTGCAAATATAAACCTTCCTAAAATACATAAAGACAATAACTGTTTTAACACTCCCCCTCAAGCTGGTGAATAGGTGTTTTCCATTCCCAGCTTGGATATAATTCTTTCAAAGTTACTGCAGTTCAGCCCCTTGGTGAGTATGTCTGCAAGTTGATTCTGAGTGGATACATATGGTGTGCAAATCATGCCACTGTCTAGTTTTTCCTTGATAAAGTGTCTGTCAACCTCGATATGTTTAGTTCTATCATGCTGCACCGGGTTGTGGGCTATACTAATTGCAGATTTGTTGTCACAATATAACCTCATAGGTTCATCCCATCTTATCTTCAAGTCTTCCAATATAATCTTCAACCATAGAAGTTCACATATTCCTTGGGCCATTGCTCGAAATTCTGCTTCTGCGCTCGATCTAGCTACTACACTCTGTTTTTTGCTCTTCCAAGTCACGAGGTTTCCACCAAGGAAGGTGCAGTATCCAGTAGTTGATCTCCTATCTACCACTGACCCCGCATAGTCCGCATCCGTATATGCTTCAAGACTTACACTTGTTTCGTTTGAACAAAATCCCTCTTCCTGGGGTCCCTTTCAAATACTGGACAATTCTAAGAGCAGCTTGTAAATGTGCTTCCTTTGGTTGGTGCATAAATTGGCTGACTAGACTTACAGCAAAAGCAATGTCTGGTCTAGTGTGAGATAAGTAATAAGTCTTCCCACAAGTCTTTGATACATTTCCTTGTCCACTGCAATATCCTCCTCCGCACTCTCCCAGCTTTATATTTGGATCAACTGGGGTACTTGCTGGTCTACAGGCTGTCTTACCTGTTTCTTTAAGCAAGTCAGTAATATACTTTTGTTGAGATATGAAGATTCCTTTCTTGGAATGGGCCACTTCAATTCCCAAAAAATATTTAAGTCTCCCTAATGTCTTGATCTCGAATTCCGTGGCAAGGCATTCACCTAACATTTGTTGCTCCTTTTTGTCATCCCCACTTACTATAATATCATCTACGTACACCAATAAAATTGTTACTCCCCCTGAAACTGAATGTTTGATAAATAATGTGTGATCCCCTTGGCTCTGTTTGTAGGCCCAGACCTAACATAACCTTGGTGAATCTTCCAAACCACGCTCTTGGGGATTGTTTCAGCTCATATAGAGCCTTTCTTAGCTTACAACCAGTTCCAGCAGCAACCTGTCCATTGTAACCAGGGGGCAACTCCATGTATATTTCTTCTTCAAGGTCTCCGTGTAAAAAAGCATTCTTCACATCGAACTGTTGCAGGTCCCAACCATAATTTGCTGCTAATGACAATATTACTCTGACCGTGTTCATCTTAGCAACCGGGAAAATGTTTCCAAGTAATCAATTCCATAGGTTTGAGTGAAGCCTTTGGCCACTAATCTTGCCTTGTAACGTTCAATGGTCCCATCAGCCCTGTACTTTACTGTATATACCCACTTGCATCCTACTGTTTTTTTTCCAATTGGTAGGGTGACAAGTTCCCATGTTCTATTCTTGCTTAACGCCTCCATTTCCACATCCATGGCTTGTTTCCATTTTCATATTAGATAATGCTTCAGATACAGAGGAAGGTGTGTGTGTGGAGTTGAGGTTTGTGAGGAAGGTTTTATGGGTAGGTGAGAATTTTTCAAAGGATAAGAAATTTGATAGTGGGTAAAGTGGTTGTTGGCTGCATGCTCTAGTTCCCTTTCTAAGGGCAATGGGTAGGTCTAGATTTTGGTCCATCTGTGCTTCTAATTTTCAAAAACAAACTCATTAGAATCATTGGAATTTATAGGATTCGGAAGTGTTACCTCATGCAGTGATGATGGGCTGGACTCTTGGACATTGCCAGATTCTAGAATGGCCTTTTCTCTCCTTGAATATACCAGATTTTTCCCAAATCTTCCACCATTAGGTGCAGGTTCAGGTGCAGGTCTTGCTGTTGGTTCAGGTACAGGTGTAGGTGCAGGTTCTGCTGTTGGTTCAAGTGCAGGTCCTGCTGTTCTCTCAGTTTCAGGGACAGCAATGCCATTTGTCCCAATTTCAGGTCCAAATGTCATATTTGGAAGCATGAGAGTCTCATCTTCCTCTCTACATTCTCCCCCCTGAAGATGAGGCTGCCCAAAGTAGCTCTCTCGTTCGTTGAAGGTGACATCTCTTGACACATAGAATTTTTTTTGATAGGGGTGAAAACATTTGTATCCTTTTTGTGTGGTAGAGTACCCTAAGAATACACATTTGACAGCCCTAGGGTCCAATTTCCTCCTTTCGTTACTATGAACATGCACAAAGGATACACACCCCAAATATTCTAGGTTGGAGTTTATTTGTAGGATCCAAGTGTGGGTAGAATGAGGATAGGACTTCCATGGGGCTTTTTGAGTCTAAGATTTTAGTGGGCAACCTATTGATGAGATAGGTGGCAGTAAGAAGGGCTTCCCCCCAAAATCTCTTAGGAACATGGTTTTGAAAAAGTAGAGCTCTAGTTTGATCTAATAGGTGCCCATTTTTCCTTTCTGCAATCCCATTCTGTTGGGGTGTGTTTACACATGAGGACTCATGGATTATCCTTCCTTTTGGCAAAAAGAGTTTAGTACAAGGTTAAAATAATCCTTGGCATTATCAGACCTAATTCTTTTGATACCGACCCCAAATTGATTTTTAATCATTGAGACAAACTGAAAAAACACAGAGCTAACTTCAGATTTTTGTTTTAAAAGAAAAACCCAAGTCACCCGGGTACAATCATCTATGAAGGTTAAAAAACCATTTAGCACCCTGAGATATTAGGAACGTAAGCAGGACCCCATACATCAGTGTGAACAAGAAAAAATGGGCAAGGACTCATCTTATTGCTAATGGGAAAAGGTACCGCTTGTGTTTAGCAAACTCACACACATCACAGTGGAGACTCTCCACATTTAAATTTTTAAACAAGAAAGGGAAAAACACTTTTACAACTTGAAATGAAGGGTGTCCTAGCCGGCAATGGTATAGTTGAACTTTCTCTATGTTGGTCATGGTGGATTCAGATATGAGAGAGCGGCTATTGGTAGGCAGATTAGGATCCTCCATGTAGTATAGGCCATTCCATTCTCTAGCATGTCCAATCGTCTTCCCCGAGTTCTTGTCCTGCAGTATACAAGAGTTGTTATGAAAAACAGCATTACAGGAGAGATCTTTTGTGAGTTTTTGTATAGAAATCAGATTGGTGGATAATTTAGGGACATGAAGGACATTTTTTAATGTTATGGATGGGTTTATTTGGACCTCTCCTTGTCCTGCTGCAGTCATAAGAGTTCCATCTGCTGTGGAAATTTTCTTGCTGCTAGGACATGGGGAATATGTGGAGAAATATTTGGGTAGAGGGGTCATATGGTCAGTGGCTCCAGAGTCTAATATCCAGTAATGTGTAAATGGTGTATCTGAAACATTAAGCCCAAAAGAAAGTGGAAACTTACCAGAATATGTTAAGGAGCATGTACCTGTAGGCTTCTCCAATTTACTAAGGAAGGATCTTACCCGCTCTATCTCTTCATGATTCAGCTGGCCAGATCCTTCACTTTGTCCATGACTGATGTGTGCTTGCCCTTGCCCTCCTTTTTTTGGGAGGACCTCCTTTCGGCCCCCATTCTCGGCTTGGGGGTTTCCCATGTAATTTCCAGCACTTCTCCCTTGTGTGACGCGGCTTGTTACAGTGGGTACACCAGATATCCTCATGTTTTTTCTCCATGTTGGGAACCCCGCTTCTCCTTTGGTTAGCAACCCATGATTGTTCCTCCTTCAGCTATCATTGCCGAACTTTCAGTTATTGAGGTCTCGAGCATCAATCCTCTTCTGCTTTCTTCACTCCGGATAATGGCTACCACTTCATTAAGCCCTGGGACTTTCTCTTTTCCCAGGATTTGGATTCGGACCTGGTCATATTCAGGATTTAGGCCTACCAAAAAATCATAGACTCTATCTTGTTCAATATACTCCTTAAGGATTGCTGAGTCTTCTGAACATTTTGCTTTTATAACTCGATAGTGGTCCAATTCCATCCATAGAGACTTGAGTTGATTAGCATATTCTGTAACAGATCTGCTTCCCTGTTTGGCAGCCACAGTTTTTCACCTTTACATCATAAATTTGGGCAGCATCCTTGGCCTTAGAATACGTTTGTTCTACTGCCTCCCAAATTTCCTTTGCTGATTTAAGAAACATGCAGGTATCACTAATTTCTGGGACCATTGAATTCCACAGCCACGCCATGATCATGGA